AATCCAACAGCAGATTGAGTCATCAATTTAGAACTTACAGACTCAAATTGGGCAATTAGCTACTTCGGTGAGTCAGACCCAACCTCAAGGGCCCAGTTCTTTTCCTTCCCAGACAGTTCTAAATCTAAAAAGAAATGTTAGTGCTATATCCCTAAGATCTGGCAAGCAACTGGAAGATCTAAAGCAAGCTACAGATAAGGTTGGAGCATCATTAGATCAGTCTAAGAATAAAGAGGATTTGAAACAAGGTGAAGATGCGTCTGAACCCGTTATTCCTTTACCTTTCCCTCAGAGAGTCATTCAGCCCAAGAACTTGGCAGAAAAAGCATAAGAAAAGGAGATTCTTGACACATTCAGAAAAGTTGAATTGAACATTCCACTCTTGGATGCAATCCAGCAAATACCCAAGTATGCCAAGTTCCTGAAAGAGTTACGCACTAACAAGAGGCGGCTAAAGGGAGATGAACGAGTGAGCATAAGCCACAATGTCTCAGCGCTCATCCAACCCATGCCTAAGAATTTCCAAGATCCAGGGACATCTACTTCGCAGGCAACGTTCTCCAATGCAGAAGTAAACACACAACTTCGTAGGTCTCCTAGGGTTAGTCAACCACTGAGAGGAACGATTATGTGATTGACTCCTCCAAATGGCTTGAAGCCATGAGGTCTGAAATAGTCTCGATGCATCAAAACCAGGTATGGACCTTGGTTCCACATTCAGAAGGAATGGTTCCTATTGGATGTAAATGGGTTTTTAAGAAAAAGACTGATGTAGATGGCAACGTTCAAACCTATAAAGTTAGGTTGGTTGTGAAACGATATCGTCAAAGACATGGAGTTGACTATGACGAGACTTTCTCACCTGTTTCCATGGTCAAATCTATTCGAATCATACTAGCTATATCAGCATATAATGATTATTAAATTTGGCAACAGATTCAACGACAGAGGCTGAATATATAGCGGCTTCAGAAGCAGCCAAGGAGGCAGTATGGATAAAGAAGATCATAACTGAACTTAGGGTGTTTCCCAACATTAGTGAGCCCATGCAGTTGTATTGTGACAACAATAGTGCTATTGCGCAGAAAAAAGAACCCAGGTCTCATCAAAGATCAAAACACATGCTCCACAGATATCACCTGATTAGAGAAATCATTGATAGGATGGATGTAAAGATGGACTATTGCCCTTACATCATATACATGCTTCAATATTACACAAGGTCTTCATGTTACAAATTACAATTTACATTCCTCCAATGAGGCTTAATACAAATAAAACTCCAAATGAAACATGGTAAAACATAAGCTAAACTTAGACAAAACATGGCATGAACATCGATGATAAAATGCATAATCCTAACTTCACATATAGTGTTCATGCCCTAAGTCTAGCCTAGGCCCAATGGCCACAAAATGCAAAATAAACTCCATGTACAAGCTCAACCTACGGACCTCTTGCCCGCCACTCCGGTACCACTGCCACTACCTGAAATAAAGTCCCCCAAAACGGGGTGAGATATACGAATATATCTCAGTAACCCATAGGTTCTGGAGATTACTCCGCCCAATGTCTCACTCAGATGCATACCAATAATATAATACAACATTCAAAACGGGATAAAGCAAGGGATCTAGTGAAGTAGGGAAATATAGGGAATAAACTACGATGAAGCTGGAATGGTCAATGCCAAAGCCACGCAACATCCGGCCTATTGGCCTCGGCATATAGCCTACGGGTTCCAATCCAAGAAAGTGTTCCCAGAACATCAACCAAGGCACCCTCCATCCATATACACCTGAGACTTCCTACTATGCTTCTCTACAGATGACACACCACGACCCCAGGTCAACTGGAACTCCTCATGGAGACCTATCTAGTGGAAGTCCGTAACGCCCGAAGGCAACTATCTACTGGCCAAAGACACGATACATCTTATGTACCACTATACATACAATTATGCATGATCATGTTATACTATACTATCAACATACACCTCCAACCACTACCTTCAAAAGGCATGGTGGAGCACACACGGGGATTCAATCCCAGTACCAAGGGATTACCTAATTCATCTCATTCACTTGGTAGTTCCAAATCATAGTATCACGAGCTTGGTTCAAGAGAAATGCCTACACATAAGTCATTTCCATTTCAATTACAACCAACCAAGACATATACAAGCTTATCAATTATTCATGCGTAAATTCAAGACGACTTACCAAAATCTCTTTGGTCAAGGACCAAAGGCAACCCATCAAGCTCAAAGCTCCAAGTTCACTTCCATGGGAGGCGACCTACAGTGATCACACGAGGATCATCAACACACGGTTCAATTAACCAACATTACAAAGCACCAAATTCCCACCTCCCCACATGCATAGGTTCAGCCATTTAGGCCTAATTTATCAAACAATTTTCTTAATTATTTTTCGTAGTTCCCATGGTATGATTGACCAACATTTCAAGGCTTGTGGATGGTATGATTGTGTTCGGATGATCGTTTACTTAAAGTTTGATGTCGTGGAAGTTACGTTTTAGTGGAGATTTCAGTGAGTTATGAGATGATGAAGTTTTGAAGCCAAGTTGTCCATGGAGGGGGAAGGAGCACAGTTTTGATGAGAGAAAAGGAGAAAAAGATGATGAATAGTAACCCATGCCATGTGTTTAAAGGTCACTTAAGTGGGGTGGGTCCTACCGCCACCTCACGCGATTCAAATTAATTCAAATCTCTCACCTATTCCACTAAACGTCCATAATTTTCTAAAATATTTAGAAAATCAAATTTTTAACATTAACCATTGTCCTTGATCAGATGCATCTGGAGTTTTCTGGTCGTTCAAAGAAATCGCAGTTTTAAGCTGTTATGCGCGCTGCGGGCACGCTTCCCCAAACACTCTAATTTCCGTCAATTTTCACCAGAAATCATATTTCGTAGTCCTATATACCATTTATAACTTATAACCAAACCTAGAGCTCCAAAATCATTCGGCTCGCTTTACGGTGCAACTGTACAGCGATATTTTTACCCGATAAAAATACTATTCATGAATTTTCCAGAAACTTGCCTAACCACTCAATTTTTCGTTCTAAATCTATTTCCCATTTGAGACCTCCTACTCAATTTTACTTTCTTAGGGTTACGTGTTTGGCTAATTACCGTTTTACCCTTCCTTTGTATTTTAACCCTAATTTCAAGATTTTCACTAATCCTACCTTTTAATCCATATTTAATATATAAATATATATTTTAGAAATATGAGGTGTTATAGGATCCAATAAAGGATAATGGGTCTAAGCTAGTAAAGCTAACATATTGGGCCAAGAGAGGGTACGTGGCATCATGGACCAAGTTGGACTTGATCCATGATGTAACCTAATTAATTTAAATGTTAAATTAATAAAATTAATTTGAATTCTAATTTTGAATTTTGAATTTAAATATATTCATTAAATTAGATTTAATGAAGATGGAGAAAATAAAGGAAACAATTAGATTGATTGATCAAAATTAAGGAAACCAATCAATTAGATTGATTGATCAAAATTAAATTAATTGGCTAAAATTGGGAAAACTAATCAATTGGATTGATAGGATAAAATTAAGAAATTACCCAATAATATTGAGATTTGATGAGAGCGCTGATTTGACCTAATTTTAGGTTAATGAGACGTCACATATATAGTCCCTTTATTCCTTATTTTTCGAAACTCTTTTTCTCTAATTTTCTCCACTGAAACCTAGCCAACACACATCAGTGTGGCAGCTATCTCTCCCTTTCTTGTGATCACCATTGGCGCCATTCACCTCTTTCTCATCTCGAGTCTAGCAACTTCCATTGTAGGGCAATGGGTGTTCGAAGAAGTGTTCTTCTCTTATAAGACAACAAGGTGGTGTGGATCTCCGTCGGAGGACTTGTGTTCTTCAAGTCTGAAGAATTGATCAAGAACGCATTTGATCAGGAACGTTAATCCGAATAAAGGTATCAACTTTAAACCCCTAATATGTCTATTGCATGATTCACGGGTTGAACATGCTTGAGGTTGGGCAAAGGTTGCCTCTTTCGCACAATTTGTTTTAAAAAAATTTCCTCCTTTGTCTTCATGGCCTACAAGAGGTGACATTCACTATAAAGCACCAAGCACTTAACATCAAGCAATAGTATTTATGATTCCACAATAGTTTTGAGTTACAATCAAATTTTTGGAAAATGTTGAATACGGACCTTTTATAAACATAAGGATTTTTTATAAACGGTATTAAAAAGAAATTTTTTTATCGTATTTTTAAATAAACTGTTGTGATTGTAGATGCGCTTAATATCATAATTTGGTTCGATTGTGACACGTGTCACACATGTGTTGCATGGCGCTGCGGTGGCCACGTCAGATGCTAGGTAGTCCAGCGATTTTGGCCACGTAACATGCCAAGCTTTCTAGCATTTTAGGCCGCCTGGCAGGCTGGGGCAGAAACTGCCTGCCACATAATCTCACTGCACTGTGTAACAGCTTACTTGGCTATGAACCTGCTGCCACGTGTGCTCTCCTAAGTCGATAGTTGTTGTAGCGATTTAGATGACGTGACATTTTGGAGAGAAAATAATTAGTCCGTTACATTTAGGTAATTTTTTGTGAATAGTGTCACATTTTGATCGTTGTCCCTGAATAATAACGTTTCATATATGGGAATTTATAACATATTCGGTCTTTATTTGGAGCGAAGTATATTTTTGTATGAATGGAAAAATACAAAAATAGTTCAAACCTGTTTTTGACGACTAGTTTTCATAAGTTGAATTGATTCCAAAACGGTTTTTGAATAACTTAATTTTAACTTTATATTCATATTTCTGAATTCTAATAGTGCAACTTCCAGTATAAAGGGTTGAACGTTTCTTATTAATGACTTAGCATGATATTATCAAAGATTGAGATTTTGATGAATCAAGGGTGGTGTAGGAGCTCAAAGTTCGAAACAATTAGTATTAAAGTTGAGTCAAGAATTAACATCAAACTTAATATGTCATAATACAAAAACTTAAATCTGAGTAGTCCTCTGCATTGCAAGCAAGAAATAACAGCAGTCTATAGTTCACCCCACAGTAAGCAAGAAACTTTGGAGATGATGGTGAAAATAAGCTTAATACTCCACAATATGAACCAGCTAGCCATTGTAATTGCAGATGCTGATCTTAAAATGCATTCTTCACTTTCTTGTGACCTGTCGTAGAAAAGTAGTCCATTTAGGCAAATCTGACACATAGCACAGGTGAACAAAAGGCTAATTAAAATCTCTTTATGAATCTTAACATATTCAGTTTTAAGTATAAAAGAAACATTATAAGATAATCTTCCAATCATATTAAGCCATCGCTAACTGAATGGGGAGAAACTTTATTTAAGTACAAACACATACAGATAATACTGATAATCTTTCTCTTCAGGATAATAAATTTTCTGAATGATAAGCAGTAAGCACCATCAGCTTTTAGGTCATTTTACAATATGTACGAATCCAAAATATATATACAAAAGCATCGTGTTCATATAGAGTTGAAAACTGTATCGAATTTATATTAAATACATACCTCTATTTTTTATGCATATGTATACAATCGCCGGAGGCAAATTTGATGCATCATTGAAAATAATTCACTGCAACAAATTTCAAGGTATTATAAACTGGAATCCGTTAAGTAATAGACAAAAGGTCATCGTATGCTAAGTTGTCAAAATGTAAAGACAGTCCTATTATTGAACCCAAAAGTACAAACAGTCGAAATAAAAAGAATTCAGAAATCCATTAAGCAAAAACTATATTTCGGTAACAACATTTAAATTCAAATATTATAATCTGTAAAGAAGAAAATCATTTCCTCCAAATAGAGAAACAAAAATCGTCTAAAGCAGCAATCTACAATAAGCAAAAATTAATACCTTCAACGACTGCATTGTCCGAGAATTCCTCTTCCTATTCTACTTCACCGGTTGATAAATGTAGACTTGTTTGATGTGCGATATTTTGGGCCAATCTAGTCCGACTTCTGGCTGGTATCTTCTGCATAGTTCAAGGCAATTTCCAATTTGTAAATATTCAAGGTTGGTGAAGAGATTCATATCATCTGGGAGTGAATGCAACTTTGGACAATTCACAATTGCAAGTGTTTTGAGACAAATTGAAGCTGACAGCTGCTCGGGAAGCTCCTCAAGATTACCACAATCTTTAATAATCAAAGAATGTAATGTGCTCACAGATCTTTGCAGCCATTGAGGCCAAGTCACCAGCTGTGGCAAACAATGAAGTTGTAGAAACTTTAACTCTAATTGAGGTATTTGGTTGTCAACGCCCTTTGACAGTTCCAACTTATCGCACTCTATAATAAACAAAGTCTCTAGGTTTGGAGATGCATGAACTGGCAAAGACTTTAGACTCCCACAAGAAACAATTTCCAGCCGTTTAAGATTAGGAAGTCGTATCCCTTCTATAAATGACTCCAAATTGTCACAATACTTCACACATAATATTTCTAGAGAAGTCAATTTTGCAATATCATTGTCCGGAAAATCAGATTGCTTTGTGCTTATACTCAAAATTCGAAGGCTGATCAAGTTTCCTATTCCTTTGGGCAATGTTTGTAGCTTTGGGCATTTAGAGAGGTGCAAAGCTTGCAGATTTTGGAGCTTGCTCAATGATTTAGGGAGACTCTTCAACATTTGATTATTAGTGAGACAGAGATATCTTAAATGTTTCAACTTACCAATGGAGCGCGGCAAACTCTCATACTCAGAATTAATTAATTTCAAAAACCGCAAGTATTTGCACCTCGACACCAATGTTTTCAAGAAAGCTTCATCGTTGGCACCCTCAGGAAAAATTACGGTTCTCAAACCTCTCGGAATGGAAGTTTGACCATGCAAATCATTTTTGACGAATGACAAATGCTGGGCAGTCTCAAATATATTCTGACCGCAGGAATTTATGAGCTGAAACTCATTGTTTGCAACATACATTGCAAGATCAAGCACCAAATCGTGTAATTTAAACATGCAAGCAGTACCAAAGTCAATAAAATCTTGAAGGAAAGATCTTGATTGTAGCTCACGCAATAATTCGATGCCAAAATCAAGCGGTGTTTTGTTTTTGTTTGGTGATGGAAGAAAACCATGTGCCTCCCAAAGCCTAATAACATGAAAAGCACGGAAACCAAAGTCTTTTGGGAAAAGGGAGAAGCAAGCAAAACATGGTTTTAAATATGAAGGCAGTTGATCATAACTTAATTGTAAAGCAGGAAGAATGTCACCTTCTTTTTGTGGTAATTTCCAAATCTCATTGTCTCTAACAGACTCCCAGTCTTTCATATCAACTTTCAAGAATAATGAACTACCTAATGTTCTCACTGCCAATGGAAGCCCACCGCATTTTTTCATAATTTCTTTCCCAATCTTCGACAATTCTGGATATCTCCTCTCTTCTCCTTCTTTAAAAGCCCATTTGACAAATAGGGACAAGGAATCATCTTCAGAAAGACCTTGTAATTCGTAAGATGAACCAGTGGCCACCATGGTAGCAACTGAGTGGCTACGTGTAGTCACCAAGATTTTACTTTCTGCAGCACCTCCTTGCAGTAAATTCTTCAACTCAACCCATTTAACACGATCCCTATTCCATACGTCATCCAAGACAAGCAAGAACTTTTTACCATCAAGTTTACTCCTTACAAGATGTTGTAGTTGCTCCATATCACAACTTTTAAAGCTTTCCTGGTGAGTTAGGGTAGGAGCAGATGCACTACTAACCGTATCAGACTTGAGAATTTTACGAAGCAAATCCTCAAGCTCAAAATTGTCAGAGACACACACCCACATCTTCAATGGGAAAGACTTATCGTCTATCCTCTCATCGTTAAACACCAACTTTGCAAGTGTAGTCTTCCCCAAGCCTCCCATTCCCACGATGGGGATAACAGATAGACTTTTATCATCACCATCATGCTGTAACAAAAGCTCTAAAATTTTATCTTTATCATTTTCCCTTCCTATCACATCCGAAGCATCAACATGGGAGTGAGTCATTTCCCTCCTATGCACAACACGTGTATCATTCTCAATGGTTTGAAGGCCAAACTTATGCCTATCAGCGGCAACCTTGTCTAATCTCTGTTTTATATCTTTGATCTGATGCGCCATTCGAAGACGATAAACAAGAGGATTTGAAGTTGAAAAGAAACGGCGTACCTTCCTTGTGTTGCTAACGTAAGTGTTGACAACATGCTTTCGTAACGCTTCGCACTCAACATCATCGATTATGTCTTCGGCATCAGAGAAAACACGCTTAATCTGTCTAAGCCACACACGCAACTCATTGTTCTGTTGCTGCTTTTGCTCTGCATCCAACAGCACAGCTTTGATGAACGACAAAGTTTCTTTGAGTCTATTCAGATCGGCCTTCACACTCAACACCGAAGAAGCTTCTTTAACAGTCAAAGAAGTAATCTTCCCAATGAGTGAGTCTGCGACGCTGAAGAGAAGGGATTCGGCCATGATTTTGGGGGAAAGATGAAAGAGCAGAGAAAGGAATGCAACGTACCTCTGAGAAGTGTGTGGTTGCCTGGTTGGAAGAAGGGAGCCAAGAAGAATTGTAAGAGTATACAAGGTGAAGTCAATGGTTAAGTCTAGCAAAATATCTTAGGCATTGAGTCAATGGCTAAGTCTAGACCTCGTTCGGCTCTGAAAAAAATAAAAAATGTGTTGTAGATAAGCTTGCCAGTGCACTCACAGTTAAGAAAAAGAGAGAAGTTTTTATTTTTCTTAGAATAAATGTTTTTTTAGATCTCTAACAAAAAAAATACTAACTTCACTTTAATTTCATATAAAAAGAAATTATCCTTCGCATACTTTGTGTTTGGGGTACTCGGTTGAGGGGGAACATACCAATAGTGGGTTTCACACTTGAGGGGAAGATTGTTGGAATATTCAAGTGTGATGAGTCCCACATTGGTCGGTAATGGGCTAAGTGAAGAGTATATAAGTGGAAGGGACCCACGAACCCAATGCCTTAAGGTTTTGGGTTGAGACATGGTGTTTGATCTACTTGCTACGGTTGGTGTAGCCTTAACTCATTGGTGGTGGCCCCCGCCACGAGCTTCTCCCTGGACCCGCCTGACATAGCTAGCCTGGTGATTGGCTAGGAGGCAGGTCGAGTATTTTGCGCTTGAGGTACTCGGTTGAGGGGGAGCAGTCCCATATTGGTTGGTAATGGACTAAGATTTTAAGTTGAGACATAGTGTCGAATTTACCTGCTACAGTTAGTGTAACCTTAACTCATTGGTAATAAATTCCATCACAGGCTTCTCCCTGAATTCGTCTGACACTCCACAGTGCTCTTTCTGAGGAGATTTTTGAAAAGATTGGATCAGTTACTTTTCTCTCACAGCTGTCCTAGCTCTGCCGACACAGATATAGGAAGAGAATAATTGATAACCAGCTACATAAACAGAATGGACAAAAACCTAAAGCAGGTGTGGCTAACTATTGCTCAAATGAAAGAAAAGACAGCACTGAGAGGCATCCTTTTCCGTAATAGGACACTAACACCTTCATTATTATCTCCCCATTTAGAGATAAGTATAATTTTTAAAAAGAAAAAGCTTGTGAGATTTTTTTTTTATCATTTACTTACTATGTTGCTAAATGGGGAGGGCCAAAGCTCAAAGACCAGTTTATATCCATCGTGACAATCATTTTAGATTGATGTTCAGTATTTCAAGTGAACCAAAAATATTTATGTTCAATAAAAAAAATGATGATATGTTTTGCTCATTCATAAACTTTCATCACTTGACAAACATTTTATTTCATGGGCTTTATTAATCTCATGTAATAGAAGAGAACTCTCTCATGTTATAGATACAATAATATGTGAGACCCATCCACTTATAAAAAAAAAAAATTGAAAAAAAAACGAAAATCGATGTATGTGTAGGAGAGAAAAACACTCTCCTACAATATAAAAGTATATCCCTTATTTCATATAAACATGCATATTCATGTGGTACTTAAAGAAATTATTTTAAACAAAAATTACCCTTTCGAAAGTAATCACTGCCACTAGTACTCCAAAAGGAGAGTATTCTCTTCACGTGAGAGCGTGAGACTATAAATATCAGAATTCATAACGATTTATTAATGGCATTATTGGCATCCAACTATTGCGGAAGGAAACTCGTAGCTGCTGATTGCCAACAATCTATTTTTATCCGTTACATTTTTGTTTTATTTTACTTTTTTTTTATTAGAAAAAAATAAAAAAGATGATAAAATGTCTTCATTAATTTTTCTAAAATTAAAAATTAGAAAAGAGAGAGAGAGACAAAGATTTTCCACTGAATAATTCTTTGTATTTTTGTTACTCTCTCACCAATGCTCTTTTCGTTGGAGTTTTTTTTTTAAAAGGTTGGATGACTTGTGTTTTATCCTAAAGATAGATATGTCTAACCCAATAGTAGTAAGTTTATTTTGAATTTAGGTGCTCTCTAAGATACCTACAAGTTAGATACTCTTAAGTTTAGTATATCACTATACACCGAGAATAAAGAATGGCTTTTGTCAATGGGATGGTGTGTGTGCTCAGTGACAACATAACGGTAATAAAGAAAAATCATCATACTTGTAGGTTTTACCTCTTATATATAGAGTTTACATGTGGATATTAGGATTCTGGACCTTTTGTACCTCTTCTAGCAGCCCAAACTCATGTTTAACGTTGTTGTATTAGAATTAATATCTTTAACGGATATCCTCATTTGGTTATATCAGATTTGTATTATATCCTTATTGGGCCTTTAAATAGGCCTCACATATGAGACCGTAACAGTTGCCCCTCGGCTAGGCAGTCTGGGTGTCCGGGCTGCCGGGGTGCATATATCTTTAAAGATTGTCCGGATTTCAAAAGATTTCTATACCTATCCGGGTATCAACAAAAAATTTCCTGGACTTCCCATCGAGAAGTTCCGAGTTTACATTCATAATTTTCTGGACTTCCCATCGAGGAGTATCCAGGTTTGTTAAACTAGTTCTAAATAATGTATCTGTCCCCTATCTAGGCAAATTGAATCTTCAACTTGTCGAGATATAATTTATATTGATTTCAACCAAGTTGTGACCAACCTTGGATTACTTTCACTTTCTGTTGATGAGTTGCCCCTAGGTCCATCTTTTATCAACCCGGTTCTACTGCTCAATATAAGACTTACAATCACTGTTTCGTGAGGAAGTATCTCTCTTGAAATCCGGCTCTTGGTTTTTGCTTAACATAATTTCTTGTATTTTTGACACTCTATGAACCGAGTTAGTCTTTGTCCGTTTGTAAAATCGTATGTCCAAGATAAGAGCTGCATGTTGTTCGAGCAATGATGAGACCCTTACACGTGGTGATTTTTGATATTGCTAATGTGTAGTATGCGGCTTACCACGCCTTCGCATTTCGTGCGCATTAAATGCACGAATCATTTCACCCATCCAATCATTGCTTTTTGGGGTGAATTGGCACTTATGCCCCTAACCTTTGCCATTCAAAACTCTAGCTTTTACGTTGCACTATTCATATTCCCCCTATTTTTTATTTACGTCTCACTTTCAGTTTCTGAGGAATCTGCATTGTGTCTTTCCTTTCACCTTCTTCAATTTGAAAGGCCTCTTTTGAAGCATATCCAGAAATTTCCTCATCTTCAACTAAGGTATCTCCATTTACCCTTCGAATGTTCCTTTTCTATTGTCATTATTTTGAATATTGAAGGTGTATGTATTCTTTCACCCTCACTTGTCATGTGCATATGTCGATTCTTCGGGTTTTCTACATTCGGATCTTCGTTACTTTCTCTCTATATTGTATTATAATTTGTAGTGCTTAAATGCTTGTTGAATTTATGTAGCATTTCTGGAGTTTTTTTGGTAGATAAGCATATAAATTTCTATCATTTCTCTAGAAACACCAGGGTGTTCCTTATATTTGTCATTTGTTAGAAATGAAAGAGAAGAAAAATCTCCATTCTGTTGTCCGTGATGAGAACAAAAAGGAGGATGAAACTGAGTTTCTCAAAAGGATCCCTCCTGGGCCTCGGTATTGGTTTTGGGGAATACACAAAACTGAAGAGGAAAAATGCAAAGCATTGCTTCGTGGATATCGTGCTGCAAGCACTAAAAAAAGAGATTCGGATCAACTAGTTTTAGGAATCAGGGTCAAGGTCGACTTTCCATAAATACTCAAGCTTTCCCTCGTAATAGGAGCCGAGGTCAAGGTCAATCTATCCCGACCAAACAAGTTTTCCACCATATTTCAAAACCTCGAGTCTCATATAAGGGTACTCAAAGTGACCAATGTTACTCTTATGTCTTCTCAAGTTATAAACTTATAGAAAGATGTTACGACTCTTTAACTGAGTCCACTATGTCAAGTTGCCGCCATGGAAATATTCTGGGATCGAACGCTGCTTTTGGTGATGCAAATAATCCAATTTGGATATCTGATAAATCTGCAAGTTTATCAACTAGTGATTCTTCAACTAGTAGCTATTTTGATTCAGGTATGCCCATCAATTTCTTCTGATTATAACTCTTCTTGTTTTAGGTATTTATAGGGTCATCTCTGTCAGAGATTATAGGAGAATCTCGCTCTGCTGAGTCAGATTTCGGACGTCCTCCTGCCGCTTTGATATCCCAGTATCCCTGGGTAACATATGAAGTATTAAGTACTTTTTGTCCAAGATGAGCGTGGAGGATGTAACCGAGCTCAATGTTGGCAATTTAGAAAATTATGACATTGTTCCTCTTCACGAAAATAAGTCAGTTTGCTCTCAGAGGAACTCAGATGAGCCCTCATTTTTCTTCGTTTATCGAGATTTGATACAAAACTCGATCTTCGGTTTCCTCTATCTGAATTTCAAATCTATGTTTTGAATTATCTCCACATTTCTCCTACTCAACTTCACCCCAACGGTTGGGGTTTTGTCAAAGCTTTTGAGCATTTTTGTGCATATTTAACTTTGACCTGCACAGTTTCCCTTTTCTTCTTTTTCTTTCAAGCCATTATTTCCCATACTGGTCGTGAGCCTCCAGAGAGAAAAGGTTAGGTTGAAATCCGAGGTCATACCTCTAGAAAAATTTTCCATGTCTATTCCGACTCTTTTAAGAACTTTAAAGATAAATTCTTTAAAGTTACTGCTCAAGTCGAAAAAGAATCCTGATTCCTTTCTTCTCCAAAGGCTGAGGATGTAGAAGGGAAATTCCCATTATATTGGTCTCTTGACCATCATAACTTTGTTCTTTCTAGTTATCGTTTCAACGAATTATAGTTGTTTCATATTGAGGTTAACACGACTCTTTCCATGCTTGCATATGTGAAGGAATATGGTTATGTTAGCGTGGCATCATTCATTTTCAAATCTCAAGACGAGTTAGATTTGGAAATGAGTATGATTTCTCTATTATTTATTTGTTTGATACTTGTAATGACAAGATCCCATTTCTTACATGGTTCTATTGTTTTAATTTTGCAATTTCAGATATGGAGGGATAACAGAATGAACAACTGAGTTTCCTTGTTGCGTTGGGTCGTGGTAAGAAGATCTCGGCCACTGACTTAGTATTC